CGGTGGCGGAGGTGGCAGTGGCGGTAGCAGAATGAGAGGTGAGGGTGAGCACTGGGGAGGGAAGAGGGCAGGCCCTGCTCCGCCCCGGCTTGGGCCTTGCTTGGGAGCTGTCCCGCCCGGGAGCGGTTCCGCGCGGGAGCTGTCCCGGACCAGCTGTCCCAAGCTTAGAAAGGACTTCGCTTTTCCGGCCGTTCTGGGGTGGGCTGCCTTATCCACGTGTGTGTGTGTGTGTGTGTGTGTGTGTCGGCCGTTCTGGGGTGGGCTGCCTTATTCGTGTGTGTGTGTGTGTGTGTTGTGTGTGTGTGTGTGTTGTGTGTGTGTGTGTGTCTCGGCCGTTCTGGGGTGGGCTGCCTTATCCACGTGTGTGTGTGTGTTGTGCCAGTGAAATCCTGGGTTGGACAGAAGGTAGATATTTTGTCGTTCCTTTGCCTTAGAGAGGGGGTAAGGGAGAAATATTCCCTCTGACTTGGGAATACTTAAATAGGTTCAGCCTGAAGCAAACCAGAAAGTACACAGAAGAGAATGTGGGTAGGGAGTGGATTGTGACCACTTGAGGTATGTCACTCCGTTGCAAAGTGTTCTTGCTTCAGGGCGATGATCTCTGATCCCAGCTGGACCAAGAAGGGATCCCACCCAGAGGAAAGTGGAGGTGAACTGGCCTGTGAGAGGAGATTCCATAGTTCATGAGTTTCGATCAGAGGCCGTGCTCCTGGCCATATTGAATATCTGTCAGAAGGCAAGGCTGGGATCACTGGATTGGAGCCTTAGATGTCCATATCCGAGGTTTGGGGAAAAGTGTGGTTTAACTGTTTTCTTTCATCCTTGGGTCTTTCAGTGAATTAACTGATTAGTGCTGTGAAGAATTTAGCTTTTATTAGGGAGGATGGAGGGGAAAGTGATGCTAAGAGAAGCTCCACAGGCTTGGAACTCACCACATCATTTACCTGCCTTTCTCATGGCACAGTTTTTGTCCTGGGTCTTAGTGGAAATTGGCTTTCTTTAGCAGTTGGGGTGTTTCATTAGCATGATTCTACTCAGGCCATTTCAAGAGTCCTTTTTTCCAAACTGCCCTGAAGAGATTTCTGGCTCTTTGGGACAGAGGGAAATTTCCACATGCCACTTTTTAGGAGTGGCAGGAGCGGTGGTATTCAAGTTCAGTCGGAGAGATAGCACATGCTCTGTGTACACATACACACACATCGTAACTGGTTCACTGTGGATCTTTTATGGCCTCCCTCCTTCTTTCATATTTGCATGTGTGGGTAGCTTTGGTGCTTAGAGTTCCCTCACTTTGAGGGAAGTAACTGAAATCATGGTAGTGAAGATTTTCAGCACATTGGTATCTTCCTGGACAGGTTAAAACCTGAAAAGCATGTATTTCCCACCAATCCTGTCACCTATTCCCCAGCTACCTTCAGTTGCTCATTTTCAAAATAAAGGGGTTAACTTGAAAAAAAAAAAAAGTTCTTTTCAGTTCTGTGATTTTCTGATCTGCTTTCTAATCTGACTGGCAGTTGGTAAAATGTGCAGCCTGTTGTGTTATCACTGTTTTTTGATTAAAACAACGTACAGCCTGGTCTAATGGTAGTGGGTTATCAGAAGTTATTAATATTAGTGTTGCTAAAGTTGGTATACAAGCCCCCACTGCTAAATTTGGCTGGCTTTAATGGGCTGGCCAATTAGCTGTATTGGTTAGAGCACAGTGTTGTAACACCAAGGTCGAGAGTTCAGATCCCCATACCGGCCAGCCGCCAAAAAAAAAAAAAAATTTTTTTTTTGACTGGCTTAAAAAAATAAAAAGCAGTGTGGAAAACCTTCTGGAGTGATCACTCCATCCTATTCCAGGTGATTCCAGGATCAGCAGCTAGGTCTCCTGGGATAACTGTCTCCCCAGGAAGGCTTCCAATGTGGGAAGTCAGCATTAGGTATGCAAGCTCTCTTGCTTCTTGAGGTCCATTCTTAATGAACTCTTCTGGGTTCTGGCCTATCTTCCTTCCTTAGATGGGGGCCTGGAGTCATCTAGAGAAAACGGGATAGTAAAAAAGCAATTAGAGATAAGAATGCCAGAGGAGAGACATTAACAATGTCATATGAATCTAAAGTGCTTGTAGTATACAGGAAATTCAATACCAAGCCACGTGAGCAGAGTTATTTTGCTCAGGCCCTGGAACACACCTGTGTGAGCAGGAGTTTCCTGGGATATCCCCTGGTATCTTCTGTTTTAGACCTTAGGTAACAGGTTGTGGGCTGGGGACGGTCCAGCTCCCCTCCCCCAGATGGAGTCTCAGGGGTTAGTGTATCCTGACAGGAGGATCCCTGGGATTTTCATCCAGGTCTCCCCTTTCTTTCATAGTGAAGGTGGGGCCCAGGATGTGGCACTGGCATTGGTGCCAAGTAATCATGGTCCTTTTCATCTCCCCTTCTCCTTCCCTCCACCCCAACCTTTGTTTCCAAAGATGGACTGGTGATCCCATTGGTAGAGCTGTCAGCAAAGCAGGTGGCATTTCACATCCCATTTGAAGTGGTGGAGAAAGTTTACCCCCCGGTGCCTGAGCAGCTACAGCTCCGAATTGCTTTTTGGAGCTTCCCTGAGAATGAAGAGGACATCCGGTGAGGCTACAGGACTGATGGTGGGGAGTGGGGTCCCGATATTCCAAAGTGTTGGCTGGGCTTCCTACAGAACAAAAGAGATTGTTGTATCTGGGGCTATGGTGAGAGGAGGACAAGGGGAGGAGGGAGTGCCTAGGATTTTCCCCAAGATGGAATGACCTGGGGAGAGAATGCCTAGGGCATTGTGGTCTCTGACAGGGTCTATTGAAGTTTATTTGCTAAGTTGTGGCTATGTCCTCTTTTCACCCCCCAGGCTATATTCGTGCCTGGCCAATGGCAGTGCAGATGAGTTCCAGCGAGGAGATCAGCTATTCCGCATGAGGGCAGTGAAGGACCCACTGCAGATAGGTGAGGGTCCTATCATGCCCAGTGGCAGCCCTACTCCTCCCATCTCCTGTGTTATGAATTAAGGACCCATGACAAGAAGCCGGAGCAGATTGTGTGAATAACTGCAGGGCCAGGGTCAAGGGCAGAGACCTAGGTCTTGGCAGCTCTCCCTGACCATGCCCACATTTCTCCCCAGGGTTTCACCTGAGTGCTACAGTGGTGCCACCTCAGATTGTCCCCCCAAAAGGGGCTTACAACGTGGCTGTGATGTTTGACCGCTGCCGGGTCACTTCCTGCAGCTGTACCTGTGGGGCTGGGGCCAAATGGTGCACCCACGTCGTGGCACTCTGTCTCTTCCGCATCCACAACGTGAGGCCCTCCCAATTTATCCCGGTCCTGTCCTACGCTCCATCCCCCCTTTCTCTGCTGCATGCCTGGCCACAATGTGAGCCCCCTGCCTCCCCAACTCTGCCTCTCTATCCCCAGCTCCAGCAAGCCTTTTCTCGATTGTTGCATTTCTCTCTGTGTGCCCTTCAGGCTTCTGCAGTCTGCCTGCGGGCCCCAGTCTCAGAGTCCCTGTCTCGGCTACAGAGGGACCAGCTGCAGAAGTTTGCTCAGTACCTCATCAGTGAGCTCCCTCAGCAGGTGAGTGAGGTTGGCACACCTTCCTCTGACTAGCTCCAGGGTGGTATAGCAGCCTTCCTGTCAGGCCCAGGCCTCCTTGGGTTCACCTGTGCCTTGTTCTCTCTGCCTCTGTCCCTTTCCCCCTCAGATCCTCCCCACAGCCCAGCGTCTCCTGGATGAACTCCTCTCCTCCCAGTCAACAGCCATCAATACAGTGTGTGGAGCCCCAGGTGAGCGTGGTGAGAAAGAGGGCAATAGGAAGAAAGACAGCTGGTAGTGCGCGGCGCTGCTTACTAAAGGCTTGTTGTTGTCGGGCGAATTCAGGCCCCTATCTTTAGGTGACTGAATGCCTGTCATCCCCAGATCCCACAGCAGGACCCTCAGCCTCGGACCAGAGTACTTGGTATTTGGATGAATCAACACTCACCGACAACATCAAGAAGACACTACACAAGTTCTGTGGCCCTTCCCCTGTGGTCTTCAGGTAAATTGGACCCCCACGGACCTGTGTTTGTGGTGTAGAGGGAGCATCCCTCAGGCTGCTGAGAGATCCTTTGTTCTGTTAATGCCTGTGTCCACCACCTTTTATTCCCTGCACTGGCACAGTGCCTGGCACACAGAAGATGTTACTAATGAGTCAGTGGATGGTGGTGATCTTGTACAGACACAGAGTAGTCTGTTCTTATTGAGGTAGAACAAGAGTATTTTTCTTTCTTTGACAAAGCAGGAAACTAAGGCAGAGAAAGATTAAGATTTTTTTTTTTTTTTTTTTGGGGTGAAAAAAAAGTTTTTTTCTTTCTTTTACAAAGCAGGAAACTAAGGCAGAGAAAGATTAAAATTTTTTTTTTTTTTTGAAAAAACAGGAAAATAAGGGAGAGAAAAATTAAAATTTTTTTTTTTTTTTGAAAAAACAGGAAAATAAGGGAGAGAAAAATTAAAATTTTTTTTTTTTTTTGAAAAAACAGGAAAATAAGGGAGAGAAAAATTAAAATTTTTTTTTTTTTTTGAAAAAACAGGAAAATAAGGGAGAGAAAAATTAAAATTTTTTTTTTTTTTTGGGGTGAAAAAAAAGTTTTTTTCTTTCTTTTACAAAGCAGGAAACTAAGGCAGAGAAAGATTAAGATTTTTTTTTTTTTTTTTTGGAGGTTGGACAGTACAAGGATTGGAAGCCTTGAAGGTTAAGAATTTTTGTCGTGGACATCCCTTTCCCCCTATACTCTGTATTTTGGGTCAGAACCCCTTTGTGTCAAAGCTCTGATGCACTTTTACCTGCTTCATTCAGCCTGTCTTAGAATCATCATTCTCTGCTCTACTACTTTTTCAGTGATGTGAACTCCATGTATCTGTCTTCCACGGAGCCTCCAGCCGCTGCTGAATGGGCATGTCTGCTGCGCCCTTTGAGGGGCCGCGAGCCAGAGGGTGTCTGGAACCTGCTTAGCATTGTGCGGGAGATGTTCAAGCGGAGGGACAGCAATGCTGCCCCCTTGTTGGAAATCCTCACTGATCAGTGCCTCACCTATGAACAGGTAATCTCCTGGAGTCGGGTTGCTCTGTGGTGCTTCATGCTTTCCCTCCCTGCCAGGTACACTGGGGGGTGCTAGTCTTTCTCCAAGCTGTCGGATGCATCTCACGGCCCTCTTTGTCTCCAGATAACAGGTTGGTGGTACAGCGTGCGCACCTCAGCCTCACACAGCAGCGCCAGTGGGCATACAGGCCGTAGCAATGGGCAGTCAGAGGTGGCAGCCCATGCATGTGCCAGCATGTGTGATGAGATGGTCACACTGTGGAGACTGGCTGTGCTGGACCCTGCACTCAGTCCCCAGCGGTGAGTCTCCCTCTGGGCTCACCACAGCCCTGAGCCTGAATCAGTCCAGGACAGACTGAGCACTTATCTCCTTGTACAAGATATGTACTATTATTCTAGTTCTAAGGAAATGGGAGCTGCTGAGCAGTAGGGTTACCAGTGATTTACGAGTCCTTGTTCTAAAAGGATTTCTTCCTCCCCTCCCCCAATAGCACCCACTTTCCACGATTCCTGAGTGTTACAGTGATGTCTATGGGGCTGGCTCAAGAAGTACTTCCTTAAGAAGTACTTCCTTGAGTCCTTTCCCTGTGCCCCTCTTTGGGTTACACCCCTACTCTATCCCCTCCTTTCCCTTCTCAGTGCAGACTGCAGCCCCTCCAGCAGCCTCCTGCCCTTTGTTTCCACAGCCGCCGTGAGCTGTGCGCACAGCTCCGCCAGTGGCAACTGAAGGTGATTGAGAATGTAAAGCGAGGACAACACAAAAAGACCCTGGAGCGGCTCTTCCCTGGCTTCCGGCCAGCAGTGGAGGCCTGCTACTTTAACTGGGAAGAGGCCTACCCCCTTCCAGGTGTCACCTACAGTGGCACTGACCGGAAGCTGGCACTGTGCTGGGCTCGGGCCCTGCCCCCTCGGCCAGGAGCCCCCCGCTCTGGGGGCTTGGAAGAATCCCGGGACCGGCCCCGACCTCTTCCTGTTGAGCCAGCTGTGCGGCCTAAGGAGTCTGGGGCCAAGCGCAAGGGATTGGGTGAGGGGGTCCCCTTGTCACAGCGGGGTCCCCGCCGCCTCTCTGCTGAAGGGGGCGATAAGGCTCTGAATAAGATGGGTCCAGGTGGGGGCAAAGCCAAGTCACTGGGTGGGGCTGGCGGTGGTGGCAAGGGCTCAGCAGGCGGCGGGAACAAGCGACGGCTGAGCAGCGAAGACAGTTCCCTGGAGCCAGATCTGGCGGAGATGAGCCTGGATGACAGCAGCCTGGCCCTGGGTGCAGAGGCCAGCACTTTTGGCGGATTCCCTGAGAGCCCTCCACCCTGTCCTCCCCCTGGTGGCTCCCGAGGCCCTTCCACCTTCCTTCCTGAGCCCCCAGATACTTATGAAGAAGATGGTGGCGTGTACTTCTCAGAGGGGCCTGAGCCTCCCACAGCTTCCGCTGGCCCCCCTGGCCTACTTCCTGGGGAGATCTGTACCCGGGATGACCTCCCTTCCACAGATGAGAGTGGCAATGGGCTCCCCCAAACCAAAGAGGCAGTCCCTGCAGTTGGAGAGGAGGAGGATGATGACTACCAGGCATATTATCTGAATGCCCAGGATGGGGCTGGGGGCGAGGAGGAGAAGGCCGAGGGTGGGACTGGGGAGGAGCACGACCTGTTTGCTGGGCTGAAGCCACTGGAACAGGAGAGCCGCATGGAGGTGAGAGGACTCTGAGGAGACTGAGGGAGGGAGGGCTGGGTGCTCCTTAGCCACAGCTGGGAAGAGCCATCTGGCTCTAGCTGGGATTGTCAGGACCATTAGCGTGACTGTTTGACTCCTGTAGCAGGCTCCTAACTGGCCTCCCTGCCTGCAGTCCACTCTCTTCACTACTTCCCCATTGATTTACCTCTGATGTCTGAATGTATCACTCTGCTGCTTCAAACTCTTCACTGGTTTCCCATTTGCCCTTAGGATAAAAATAAAGGTCTTCAGTATGACCTATGACCTATGAGGCTCCACTTGAGTTGATCTTTTTTTTTTTTGCGGCTGGCCTGTACAGGCATGGAACCCTGGACCTTGGTTTTATCAGCACCTTGCTCTAACCAACTGAGCTAACCAGCTAGCACATTGATCTGATCTTTGCCTGCTTTTCCACTCTCGTCTGGCTACTCTGTCCCTTGTCTTCCACTCAGCTGAACCACTCCCATACCCTGTAATGCTAATTCTTTCATCCATACTTTTGTACATATTGGCTTTTCTGCCTGGAATGCTCTTCTCTCACCTTGCCTGGCTAGCTCCTCCTCCTTCCTCAGGTCTCAGAGATCTTAGAGATCTTTTTTTTTTTTTTTTTTTTTTTTTTTTGG